GCTCTCGAGGCTCATGCCCGCGGTCGTCCAGGAGATCACGGAGTTCTTGCTTCCGGCGGGAGGATCCGCTCGCTGAAGAAGAGGGGTGATCCAGGAAGGCAAGGTGTCACTAGGGGAGCAAGCAATGGCATAGACATAAAAGCTGTGAGGTCCGCGCGGGTTTCCCGGATCGGCGCTGGAAGCCCCCTGGCGGCACCTCCGGCGCCGCCCCTGGCGCGCCCCGCGCGCCAGAGAGGGGGGGTCCAGCGCCGATCCGAGAAATCCGCGCGGACTTCCAGTTTTTCTGTTTGTGTCATTGTTTGTTCCCCTAGTCATTGCATGCCGTTTGCACGTTGCGCGCACGGAAAGCAGGAGCGTGCAAGACGCTTCCATGGTTTATGTGCATGGCCGTTTCATATTGTTTTGTACATTCCAACGCTGCCACGCGATGGAAATTATGTGAAGACAGGATCTGTGTTGTCTTCGCGTGCACACAATTCGAGAAGACAAGTTACGTAGCGCAGAAGCTGGTATAGGCTCCTTTGGCAAGTGCGTCGGCGCCAACAGTATCTAGCAAAGTCGAGCCAAGATGTTCTCGATTGCACCAGGGGAAAGCTGCAGAGGTGCATTCCAACCTGGCGGCGCGCGATGCGAGCCAGAGAGCGAAGATTGGCTCGCAAAGTGGGGCTTGCGTGAGCGCGTATGAGACCTCGAGCGCGCCGCGTCGTTGCCCCACTCATACTTGAAGCCTTGGGCGATTGGAAGGATCCTCTGGCCTCGACCTTGGAGGGGAAGCGCAGGCGCTAGTGAAGGTGACCAAAAGATGCGAAGGAGGTGGTGGATAGGAGTGGTCCGAGGTACAGGAGATGCTCTAACCTGTTGAGGCTCAGAGCCCCCTCGAGGCCTCTGCCAGGGCCGTTGGGTTCTGCTGGGAGGAGCGGCTGCCAGATCACGCGTCAAGCGGTTTCGATTCAAGATTGTTTGGTTCGGCAGGTTTGCTCGGAGCGCGTCGATGCGTCGCTAACTCGTTTCCCTTCCTGTGGGTGTCGAGGGAGGGGAAGGGAAACAAGCGTGGAAGATAAGTTCCAGTTCTCCGTCGGGCCGTGTCGGGTATGCTGGTCTGACGGTGGATTCGGCGTCCACACGACGTTGAAGCGCAAGAGCGGATAGCGTGGAGCGCGCCAAGGGATCCGAGTGTGCACTGCAAGCTCCCTTTCTGGCGAAACATGTGTTTCTTTCATCCGTGTCGGATTCATTTTGCCAGGGGAGCCGGTGCAGAGCAACGCGGGGAAAGTTGCTTTATTTTGCGGGTCTGAAGGCTTTCAGGTTCAGGCATGAGGCCCAGTAGTTGGCAAAACGGGCGAGGCCGAAGAGCGACTGGAATTCACATACAATCCGCCCCGCAGGCTCAAGCCTTGAATGGAACGCCCTCGTCTGCAAATTTGGAAACACTCGCAATAACGTTTCATGCCAACCTTGTTAAGGGCGGGTTCAGGCCTCATCGCGAGGCAGTTGAATTGCCGATACTTGAGTTTCAGGCTCCTGGTCCCTGCCGCCGGTTTTCCAGCGCAGGCGTGCCTGGTCGCTGCTGGTTGCAGACTGCTACGCCTGCATGCTCAAGTTTTTGTCAGAGGAGGGAGTGATCGTCGGTTTGAAGAGAGCCGTGAACAGGACAAGGTAGAGGTTGCCGTTGGGGGGGGATCATTGTCTAGCACAGGAAGGCCAGCTCGGCTGCGCTTTTTTGCTGCAGCCCTTTCGTGGCAATTTTACTCCAAACTATGCATCTCTGGCGTGCGGCCTGGTGGATTGAGCAGACCCCGGGTCTTGACACATTGTCGACGCCGCTTCGGTGCGTAGGAGAGCCAGGTTGAAGCGCGAAAGGGGCACAGAGCACTTCTTGCAGGCTTGTTTTTCACCTTGGTCGACCTCCAGGTGCATCTTGGGCGCTTTCGTAGTAAGCGCAGTTGCAAAGGGGATCCCCCTTTTCCTTAGATTGTCGCCCCCTTCCTGAGACATTGCATCCCTGCCTGTATGTGTCTGTCCGTCTGTCTGCCTGCCTGCCTGCCTGTCTGTCTGTCTGCCTGCCTGCCTGTCTGTCTCTGTCTGTCTGTCTGTCTGCCTGCCTGTTTGTCTGTCTGTCTGTCTGTCTGTCTGTCTGTCTTTACTTTTCTCTCTCTCTCTCTCTCTCGCGCCTTCCTATCTATTGCATGGCGATCACTGGGGACAGCTGTTTGCCACCGCTAGCCGTGCGGTCCTGGAAGTATATGCGACGGTGCGTGCCAGGCGTTGGCCGCGCAGTGCTGCCGCGTGTCAGACCGCACGGCCTTTTGAGAATGCTGGCAGGCTCTAGTGACGGGGCGGAGCCTTAGCCAGCAACACAATCACGCGCTAGAACAAAAAATGGTGGTCGAGCCAACATGTTCAAGAATGGGGCACGTATGCGCGGTTGCCCCAGGCTCCTCCTAGCAAATGATAACAGTTCTTCTCTGAATGCCTTCGGCAACTCCGACGCCCCCCGCCCCAGACACCAGGGGATCACTCGTCGACGTCGTCGTTAGCCTCCGATCTGACATGTACGGTTGACCGTGGCTCTGGGATTGCGTGCCCTCTGCAATTCCCGACCATATTGTGGTGTTGGGTCCTCGCTTTGAAGAGACAGCGCCCCGTGTTCTTCACTCCTTCTTCCTCCTCCCCATTCCTCCCCTCCTTGCCCGCATCGTCATCATAGTCATCGTCGTCATCATCACCATGACCATCGGCGTCCCGTTCTTGCCTCAGCCTTCCCATGTCCATTTCGGCACACTCCTCACACGCTTCGTGGCCCCATGGGGAGCTCCACCGAAGGCCCCAGTGAAAGGGTCCGCGTAGCGCCACCGCACCCATCGCAGCACAACCTTCACACGGGTCGTGGCCCCATAGGGAGTTCCACCGAAGGCCCCAGTGACAGTGTCTGCGTAGCGCCACCGCACCCAGCTCGGCACTTTTTTTCACACGTTTCGTGGCCCCACACGGAGCTCCACCGAAGGCCCCGGTGGCAGGGTCCGCATGGCGCCACCGTGCTAATTTCGGCAGACTTTCACACACTTCATAGCCGAATGCGGAGCTCCACCGAAGGCCCAAGTGGCGGGGTTCGCACGGCGCCACCGTGACCATTTCGGCACACCCCTCACACGTTTCGTGGCCCGCAGGGTCCGCACGGCGCCACCGAGCCCATGTCGGGACACCCCTCACACGTTTCGTGGCCCCATAGGGAGCTCCACCGAAGGCCCCAGTGGCAGAGTCCGCATGGCGCCATCGTGTTAATTTCGACACACCACTCACACGCTTCGTGGCCCCATGGGGAGCTCCACCGAAGGCCCCAGTGGCAGGGTCCGCGTAGCGCCACCGTGCCCATTTCGGCACACCCTCACACGCTTCGTGGCCCCATAGGGAGCTCCACCGAAGGCCCCAGTGGCAGGGTCCGTATGGCGCCACCGCGCTGTTTCGGCACACCCTCACACGTTTCGTGGCCCCATAGGGAGCTCCACCGAAGGCCCCAGTGGCAGGGTCCGCGTAGCGCCACCGCACCCATCGCAGCACACCCTCACACGGGTCGTGGCCCCATAGGGAGTTCCACCGAAGGCCCCAGTGGCAGTGTCTGCGCAGGGCCACCACACCCAGCTCGGCACACTTTTCACACATTTCGTGGCCCCACACGGAGCTCCACCGAAGGCCCCAGTGGCAGTGTCTGCGTAGCGCCACCGCTCCCAGTTCAGCACTCCCCTCACACGTTTCGTGGCCGAATGGGGAGCTCCACCGAAGGCCCCAGTGGCGGGGTCCGCATGGCGCCACCGTGCCCATTTCGGCACACCCCTCACACGTTTCGTGACCCGCATGGCGCTGCGGCACTCGCATCCGCATATTGTTGAGTCTCCGCCAAGATCATTTACAGGGGATCGTGGCCTCCAATGCTCTTTGAATTTTACGCGGGGTCGTGGCCTTAAGAGAGCGGAGATTTACGAGAAATCATTGGCTTGGAGTGCAGGCCCACTGTGTAAGTTCCATTTGGTCATGGCCCTTGTAGCGCGGATCCAGCCTATACTAGGGATCGTGACTCTGGGAGCTACGAACCAGTGCAGTTCACAAGAGGTCGTAGCAATGGAAGCGCGGATCCAGCGTAATTTTCAAGCGATCGTGGCCTTGACGCGGACTTGGCGTGGTTTACAAGAGATCGTGGCCCTGAAACCGCGGACACAGCTCACACATGCGCTCAAGAAGTTGGCTTGGCCTCGGTCAACACCCATGTTGGTCATCATACTTTTTAACCCCCCATCCCCTGATTGAGGCGATCATGTGGGGCAGCCGGGCGCCCCTGTTTGCAGTTTGATGTTGCGATGGATCGTGCGTGTGTGTGTGGGGGGGGAACCGGCTTTTTATCGGGGTACACCAACTCCTCCTTGTCTTTCCTTCGTTATTATGGGCTTCCATCTGAACGCAGCACGAATGTCTCCCAGCGTTGAAGCCGCTGGTGGCGGATGATTCGCCAACATCAGCGGGCATTCATAAGCCCACCATTCATGCTGGCGCCCTCGTTGGCGCATACTTCCTATGCGCGTGCCGCTGGAAACGATTGAAATTTCTTCAGGCGGGGTCAAGAAGCTGGATGGGCCTCCAGCAGGCCGAAGGGGCGCGACGCACGGGATGACGGGGCCTATTCGGGAATTCCTGGTGTCCACGCTGCCACCTCCGCCTTCCCTCATCGCCATTTTCCTATTCTACAAGCTACCGGTGGGGCGTCGAAACAAGGAGCACAGCTGGCCTGGAAAAAGTTCGGTGCCTTGTTCTGTTCGTCATAGTGGCCCCCGCAGACAGGACCAACCCGACAAAGGAGGAAACGGGTTTCGTTTTCTATGCAAGGTTCAGTGTTGTAGTATGCCGATTGACCCTGAATTAATGTTCTCTCTCACTCACTCTCTCTCTCTCTCTTGTTACTCACCATCGTTCTAGTCCGCCTCCTCCTCCTCGCCTTATGGGACGCTTGAACAGCGTCCTGGGAGCACGGGTAGGCACATGGAGCTTATTCCAAAGGTTCCCGCTGCCCATACAGGTTAGTATTCC